AAAAAAAAAAAAAAAAAAATTCAGATGCTAAATTTCACGTTTTTTACCATAATTTTTTTTTCAGTATTTGTTTTTGGCACAAGAGGTAATATGAGACAGATGGCCAGGAGATCACCTACTAAGCCTAGCCTGAGGACAAGGGTGAGCAGGGGGTAGGTTTTAATTTCAAAAGGTAATGGAGCTAACCAGGCAACACTTCCTCCCAGTCCTTTCTCTTTTGGGTACAGGTGAGTATAAAATCTTACCAACTATCATAGTTAACAAACAAACCATAGCAAAATATGTCTCTATGCTTTTTCTCTTGAGAGCAGAGGACATGGGTATCCTTTTTTAGACGGCTCCTAGGACTTAAGCCAGGAAGAACACTTGTGTTTCCTTCAATAGGCAGAACTAAAAGAGAAAATTCCCTTGACGAAAGCGAAGCAAGCGAGGACCAAGTGGCCACCTGGGTGACTACATCCCCCAGCATGCACTGCTTCTTCTAGGGCGCAGCCAGTGACGGAAGAAGACGCATTACTTCTGCGATAAGAACAGGATAGAGGAGCGAGACTACACATCCCAGGATGCAAGGCGCCCCAACTCTAGGCACAATCTGACTTGCTTTCTGGCTGTCGTTCCCCGCCAAAGGGACGCTAGGAGAGCGGAATGTTTCGGTTGGGACTCCCCGAAGTCTACTGGACCATGACATTTCGAAAGAGGAAGGAAAGTGGACGAAGGCTGTTTCACTGTAACTCAAAGTAGTTCGTGCACAAGGTGGCGAGGAGTTATGGGTCCTTTCCATAATTTATTGTTCCTCAAAGGCAATGCCAAGCCCCACTGGTCGCAGCCCTCGAGGGCAGGTGGGAAGTCCACGAAGCCCCAAATCGAAGTTATCAGCGTCTATTGGTCCTCTCCTCGGGCGCAGGCGCGAGGGCTCGGACTCCGGTCCCTTGGGCCTGGTGAGCGGCAATTGGCCACAGTCCGCGAAGTAGAAGTCCGGATTGGTAGTTGCTAGCAGGAGCCTGGTTTCTTCCTCGACTTCTGCAAGTGATAGAGTGTGATTGGTTTAAATCCGCGGGTACCTGTCGGTGATTGGGTGGGAGCCACAGGCGGGGCGCGGCCATTGGCTGGCGCTGGGACCATCCCTCCTCGGGCGGGCAGCGAATGATGAAATGGGAACGGGGAGGGGAAAGGCCGCGACGTGAGCGCGCGACCTCCGGCGCCATTTTGTCGAGAAACAAGCGGAGTTAACCGAAGAGGGGGTCGAGGAGAGCTGGAGTCGGGGACCCAGGAGTTTCCTGTGTCCAGCGCTGCCGGAGCCGCCTGAGGTGAGGCGGGCTGGCGTCAGGGGCTGGGGTACGGTGGTGGTGTTAGCTTGGGGACGCCAGTGCCAGTGGGAGGAGGAACAGGGGTGGACCTGGGGCCATTGGAAGCGTTTCCCAGAGCTCCAGAGAGTGAGAGGCAGCCGGGACGGGCAAGTGGGGCGAGGCGGGAGAGGGCGGACTCTCTCCCCACGGCTCTCGGAGGCTTCGCGTTCTGAAGATGAGGCCAGCGAGAAGGCGCTAGGAAGCGGAGGGCAGAGCGCGGGTTGAGACCAGGGGTGGCCTCTGTCCCGGGCCTGGAGGCTCAGGGGGCGGCAGTGGCGGCAGTTCGTGTCGCTGGGCCTGGCTTCGAGCGAGTTGCACCCTCCTGAGACCCCCCACCACCTCCTCAACTACTCTCTCTCACTCTGCACCCGGATGGGTGCAGTGGGCATCGGCTCCCGAGGCCTAGGGCTTCGGGCGGGGTACGGTGTTTGGAGTTTTTGCACGTTTCCAGTTTTTTTCTGTGTGCTCTAAGCTGCCACTCTTCCCCCTCCTACGCCCCCTGCACATTGTCAAAGCTCCCCATGTTTCGGGTGTCCTCGGATGGGAAGGGCGGGCGGGAGCGAGCACTTCCTTATTACTTGCCACAGGTTTTGTTCCACTAGCGCGCCCGGGCGCTCACACTTTCTTTTGAAGTCGGTCCCTACCTGCTCGGTCCGGTGTCTGCAATAGTGGCGGTCCTGCCCACACAGGACAAGTGTCCCGCTAGTGCGCTGAGCACTCATAGGCCTCAAGGCTGATGAGAGATCCGCTGCGGGTCTTGTAGAGGTACTTCAGGCCAAACACAAATAATATTTTTTTCAATACCACCCTCTGCAGAATTCACCCAACAGGGCTCACAGATACTAACTCCATAAGGAGTAAACTTCGTAGATTAAAAAAGAATGCTTGATATCTGTGCATTTGAAAATGTTGTATTTAAAATAAACTTTATGACAAACTTTTCCCCTGAAGTTAACCAAATGTCACATTTCTTAGGAGTGTAATAAATTAAAGGCAGTTTTCTTTCTGAAAACTGAGTAACAATACCTAATCTCCCTGCCTATTTCTCGACAATATGATCGCCTGTGACTACTTGGATTTTTTTAAAGTCAGTAATTGAGTAAATATAATTAAACTTTTTGAAAAAATGCTGAACGTTTTCCTTATGACAGTCCGTTTGATAGGAATAAGGAATACATGGATTTAAAAACAGGGAGGGCAAGTAAAATATTAGGAAGAAGATCAAACAGATTAAGAACAAATTTTATTTTTCTAGAGGTATTTGGATTTAATACTTAAGTGGTCTGTGGTCCAGGTTTGTATTCCTACCCAGCAGAGGATTTTAGCTATTAAGAAGATAGGTGGTAACAGTTTAAATAATTATGTTTTAGGACACTGCAAATTGTTACCTTGTCTAAGGAGAAAACGCATTGATGATACATCGTTTCAGGTGGCTAGCTGTGCTTTGACTGAAATGATGGCATGTTGATAAAACTTGTTTGGAGAGTTGGTCCCTTTTCGACAAGTATGGGTCCTCTGAGTCTTAGTGGAGATAAGTCTAGAATTGGTTGGGTGCCGTGGCTCATGCCTGTAATCCCAGCACTTTGGGAGGACAAGGTGGATGGATCACCTGAGGTCAGGAGTTGTAGAACAGCAACATGGTGAAACTTCATCTCTACTAAAAATACAAAAATTACCTGGGTGTTGTGGCAGGCACCAGGAGGCTGAGGCAGGAGAATTGGTTAAACCCGCGAGGCGGAGGTTGTGGCCAGCTGAGATTGCACCACTGTACTCCAGTCTGGGTGAAAGAGTGAGACTCCCTCAAGAAAAAAAAAGACTGGGCGTGATGGCTCACACCTGTAATCTCAGCACTTTGGGAGGCAGAGGCAGGCGGATCACCTGAGGTCAGGAGTTCAAGACTAGCCTGGCCAACATGGTGAAACCCTGTCTTGGAAGAAAAAAAGAACCCGGCACTGTGGCTTATGCCTGTAATCCCAGCACTTTGGGAGGGGGAGGGGTGGGAGCGGATCACGAGGTCAAGAGATCAAGACCGTCCTAGCCAACATGGTGAAACCCCCCTGTCTGCTAAAAATACAAAAATTATCTGGGCCCGGTGGCTGCACTCCTGCTTCTGTAGTCCCAGCTACTCTGGAGGCTGAGGCAGGAGAATCGCTTGAACCCGGGAGATGGAGGTTGCAGTGAGCCAAGATCGAGCTACTGCACTCCAGCCTGGGTAGCAAGAGTGAAACTCCGTCTCAAAAAAAAAAAAAAAAAAAAATCTTAGGGTGGGGTGTGGTGGTTCACACTTGTAATCTCAGCATTTTGGGAGGCCGAGGGGGGTGGATCTCAAGGTCAGGAGTTCGAGACCTGGCCTTTATGGTGAAACCCCGTCTCTACTAAAAATTGAAAAATTAGCCAGGCATAGTGGCGCTCGCCTGTAGTCCCAGCTACTCCGGTGGATGAGGCAGAAGAATTGCTTGAACCCGGGAGGTAGAGGTTGCAGTGAG